CTGCCGTGCTGCCCTCTCCCAATCGGGGCACCCGGGAGCCAGCACCCTCCTCCTGCAGCTCGGGCCGTACTTAAAGCCTGCAGGAGGCAGCAGCCATGCCAGGGAGAAGGGAAACAGGCAGGATTTTGCATCCCAAGCCCTCTCCAGGCCTTTCCCAGCCAGGAGCCCGGAGGGAGCTGGACGATGCTGGCACACAGGCAGCCACGGTCAGGCCCTTGGCACCCACGTGAGGGCTCGGAGGAAGAGGGCCAGGACTATCGGCCCAGCCAGAACTTGGGCTCTGCCCTCCACCCCCACCAGCAAGAGCCGTCCCGTCCCAGTACAGCAGGCTGGGAGAGGAGCAGGCTCCTGCCACCGCCATGAGTGACCCCTGCTGCCTCCCAGCAATTCCCCAGATCCCATCACTCATGGGAGGTGGCTTTGGGACAGCAGGATGGAGCAGGGGCAGGGCTTGTGGGTAGGGGTAGAGCAGAGCCTGCAGCAGGGACCCCAGGCCCCTCCCCAACCCCCCGCCGCCCTGCCGCCGGGGCAGCCCTGACAACAGCCTCCCCAGCAAGAGGCCTAGATCAGGATTGGAACCCACAACCTAGCAGCTCAGAGGTGAGCGTCCAGCCTGCCAAGCCACCGTGGCATCTCCCCTCCAGCGCAGGATCAGCAAGCAAAGCAAATCTCGAGGCAGCAGAAAAGGGGTGGGGGTGTCAAAGAGCCAGCCCAGGCACCAGACCGCAGCCTGGGGGAGAATCCCAGCCGTGCCGTACAGAGCACAAACTTATCTCAGCGCGCCACTAACTCATCCCCTGCTTTCTCCATCGCCTCTCCCTGCCACGGCAGATTCACATGCACCTGCTCCCTAGTTCTCCTTTAGAATTGGGCCCTGCTCCAGGGAGGGCCAGTCCCCCTGCCCGCTGAGCGAAAACACCCGCACCGAGAACAGTGGCGAACGTTGTTCATGGTGTTCAGCGTGTGCCTAACACAAGGACAAGGGGACACAAAGAAATTCAAAGATGGAAGCTTCAAACCCAACAGAGGAAAACACTTCTGCACCTGGTGCAAAACTAGTCTGTGGAACTCACCGCCGCAGGAAGTTACTAAGGCCAAGAATTAAGCAAGATTGAAAAAAAAAGGATCAACATTTCTCTGGAAAGCTAGAATCTCCATTACTCAAAGGATCACAATTCTGGCAGGGATATTAAGCCTTCTGCTTCAGGCCACACGCCAATCTCTAACTAATAGAGATCAGGCAAGACATAACATGGCAGGAATTATCCCACATCTGCCTACGGCTGATTTCTCCCGCCTCCCTCTGCAGCCTCTGGGGTGGGCTGCTCTCAGGGACAGCGCCGTAGACCAGATGGACCTGCCAGTCCTGTGTGCAGGCCCCAGAAAACAAGCTCACAACACGGACTGTGTCTCCAAGCCTTGTCTGAGCTGCCTCGGGGCCTGTATCTCACTCCCAGTTAGGCAGGCAGGATGAATATGGACAAATAAGGTCCCAGTGGAGAGGCGGGTGTGTGCTACTGCCCTCTACTGCACGGACTCAGAACTGCTCAACTGGGTGCCATAGGGTCAATACTGCTCACAGTAAGGGGAGATTCTCCGTTAGCTCCAGTGGCAGAGCCCTGGGCTTCGGGCTGTGACCCAGAAGTTCTCAGTGGGTGTGAGTCGCAAGTAGGGTGACTCCCTCTAACCCACGGCACAGAGAGTGTCTTTTCATGGGTGCATCTCACAGAGCGTAAGAGAGGGAGTTTCCTTCTCACCCACTCTAGAGCTGGGAAGGACGAGGCCCTGCACAGTGGCTGAGCTGGGAGCAGATGTAGGCCTGCGAACGTCCAGTCACACGTTCTAACCACTGAGCACTGCTGCCTGCCCCAGAGCCAGCCTGGCACGCTGGGGCGGAGAATAGCGCAGCAGCTGAGCCACAGCCCGTCCCCGGGGAGGGGCACAGCGCTAGGCCGGGAGCGCGCTGGCACCCAAAGCCACTCCCCTCGCATGCACATCTCCCCACAACTGCATGTAGGCCTGCGAACGTCCAGTCACACGTTCTAACCACTGAGCACTGCTGCCTGCCCCAGAGCCAGCCTGGCACGCTGGGGCGGAGAATAGCGCAGCAGCTGAGCCACAGCCCGTCCCCGGGGAGGGGCACAGCGCTAGGCCGGGAGCGCGCTGGCACCCAAAGCCACTCCCCTCGCATGCACATCTCCCCACAACTGCAACCGTGATGGTGTGCTCCGTGGGTCCCAGGAACCAGGGCAGCAGCAGCAGGTAGAGCAGGTAGACGAGTGAGAGGGCATTGATCCGGAACACGCACGCTGGGGAGAGAGGCAAAGGGAGGCACGTTAGGGATCGGAGCCGCCCCAGGGCGGGACACCCACAAGCCCCCCTCCCCCCGCGCTGCAGGGTCCCCCAGGCGGCAGGGAGCAGCGTGTGGGACAAACCCCAAGCAGAGCCCTTCATCACTCGGCCCGGGAAGCGAGGCCCTGTTGCAGGGTCCCCAGAACAATCTGGTTTTGGAGCTGCCTAGAGGCAGCCTGGCACCCAACAACCCAGCAATGACCTGGGTGTGGGATGCACAGCCCTGCCATCTACTGGACCGAGTCAGACCCCTTCCGCTGTGTGTCATACCCCCCGTACTGCTCACAGCACTCCTCCTCCTGTAGCACTGCGGCCGGTGTGGCTGCAGCTGCAGAGGCAGAGTTCCAGCCTCACTGCCCCCACGATGCGGAGTGTCCCTGGGACGGATGCTCCCAGGCAGCGCCGGCTAATACGTTATTCAGCAACTGCACGAGGTTTGACACATCCTAACGACAGCTCCCACGAGGGAGGGCATCACAGCTCGGAGTAGAAGCCGGGCTCAAGCAAGCGGGCCTGGCCCCCGGCTCAGTGCTCAGGCTTCCGACACTGCAGGGGGAAGAGGGAGGCAGTGGGGGGGGGCTCACCCTACCACCCTTTGGACTGCTCCAGACCCCCTCCTCCCCCAGCGGCGAGACCCCTTCCAGTATGGGAGCTTGGCCCTTCGGAGGCCCTGCCCCCAAGCGCTTTGGGAATGCTCCTGTTCACTCACGCGCCAGAGGGGTGCCCGGGGGTGCCATCTGACCCTTTGTCAGCAGGGAGGGGCAGGCCCTGGATGGGAGAGTCCCGTGGGACAGAGTCAGGGCCACCCCCCTCGGGGGCGATGGAAGCGGCCCTGACAGCCGCAGCTGTTCACTGGAGAGGCTCTGAGCCGGCCCGGCCCATTCTCGAGGCGGGAGGACCCTGGCTTGGATGCTCCGGCCCGGGCCAGGCAGCCTGCAGCAGCATTTGCGCTGTCTGCGCCTCCAGCTCCGGCGCTAGTGAACGCTGCCCCCGGATCTGCCCTTCTAGGTGCTGCCCCGCTGCCCAGGCGCCAGGCCACCGCCCCAGTTCCGGCCACGCCAGCTGGAACCCTGCGACGCTGCCCAGGGCTTCCCAGAATCAGCAGCCCCCTCGCTACCCTGTGAGCGCACGCTGGCCAGGGCTCCGCTCCCGACTCACCCAGCCACGGGCAACACCAGCCCTCGCCTCTCAGACACACGCCGGCTCGGGGCACCCCACTGCCGCGCCCGGCCCCCGCTACGCTGTGCAACGCAAGGACAGCTCTCGGCAGAGGGATTCTCAGGTGCCCACTAGGGTCCGGGCCGCCTGGGGCCAGGGACAATGCTCGGAGGAGGATCCCATTTAGCCACTGGATAGGCCAGACCTTCCCTACTGACTCCCCCCTGCCCTATTGGGTGACCCCCGTGTGGAATGATCAGCCAGTATATTCTGGGAGGAGGCACACCCCTTCAGGGGCGGGATGAAGGTCCCCTCACGTGTGGCTGGCTGCCGCAGGCCTCCGAAAAGGGCTGCGCCTTCCCTTCCCATAATATAAGGACTAGAGGACACCAAATGAAGTTAATAGGTAGCAGGTTTAAAACTAATAAGCAAAAGTTCTTCTTCACACAGCGCAGTCAACCTGTGGAACTCCTTGCCGGAGGAGGCTGTGAAGGCTAGGACTATAACAGAGTTTAAAGAGAAGCTAGATAATGTCATGGAGGTTAGGTCCATAAAAGGCTATTAGCCAGGGGATAAAATGGTGTCCCTGGCCTCTGTTTGTCAGAGGCTGGAGATGGATGGCAGGAGACAAATCGCTTGATCATTGTCTTCGGTCCACCCCCTCCGGGGCACCTGGTGTTGGCCGCTGTCGGCAGACAGGCTACTGGGCTGGATGGACCTTTGGTCTGACCCAGTACGACCGTTCTTATGTTCCCGCCGCTCAAGGTATTTTTAAAAGCCACTGGAGAAAGCGAGAGCACTGGAGAAAGTGCGAGCTGGAGCTCCGTACCGGGGAGAATTCCCCCTGAGAAACCTTTTCAGGCCAGGCTCCCCCCTATCCCCCCCCACTCCCTCAAGGCAACCTGGTTAAATGTAACCAGTGAACTGATTAACCAGATTTTACATCCCTCATGTGTATGCGACCGTTAACCTGGAATCCCCCTAGCACCAACGATCTCCCACCCAGACACGCCCGGCCCTTCCCATCAGGGCAGCGTCCGCAACCAAAAATGCTGCAAGAAACCTGCTGTCTCTCTTGAGGGTCCCGTCATCTCCCCTCCCCAAGGAGCCGGCCCCGGGAATGCACCAGAACCACCCTTCCCTGCAGAGCTGGGCCTGACACAGCCGGGATCGCGCCTTCCCTTTGGCTCGGGCACCCAGGTGAGACGCCGGCAGCAGGGATCTGCCCCGCCCCCCCGCCTCGGCAGGGCTCCCACCGGGGCAGGGGCGTGGCGCTCCTCCTGTGCCCAAGGTGGCATCACCCGAATTGTATGCACCGCCAAGCGGGGTGGGGGCTGCCGTTCCGGGCAGCGCCTCCCGCAGCAGGGCCTGGCCCAGAGCTGGACGCGAGAGCATCCCAGAGACGTAGGGAGGGAAGAGGTCACCCTCCCAACTGCCCCGGGCTGAACATGGACGCTTGGGGAGGTTGCCCCCTGTCCCTCTCTTCCGCAAGAGGCCCTGCCCACCAGGGCCAGAGGAGCCCCAAGCACCCACCAGGCCTGGAGGAGCCCTGCCTGGCTCGACAAACCGACCCAAGCCCCGGCCCGCCCGAGCCACGGCCACGGCAGGGAGCATGCCCCAGGGCTGGGGAAGCGCGAGTCCCCCACAGCCCCCATTCTGCCTCTGCTGGACAAAAGCGCGTCTCCCTAGAAGACCTGCCCGACCCGGGTTGCCAGCCCTGCAGGCCTGGCCTGGGTCGCCAGGGTTACAGACTGTCAGGGGACGGACCAAAGCGGTAACACGCGGCCCGTCAGGTGCAGCCTGCGGGAGACTCCACCACCTCCCGGGGAGCCTGTTCCGGGTCAGACCTTTTCCCTAATGCCCAACCTAACCCCCTCGCTGCGGCTTACGCCCATCACCTCCTGCCCCGCCCGCTCTGGCCGGGGAGACCAGCTAAGCTAATCACCGGGCGCTTTACAACGGCCCCGACGGGTTCTCAGGCCCCTCCTCTCTAGACCCACCATGCCGAATGCCCCAGCCTGTGCCCATAGACCAGGCTTCCAGACTGGACTCTCCGTCCGTCCACAGACCGCAATCCGGCGCTCCACGAGAGGCCGCGGCAGCGCTGAACGCAGCAGAGCCGTCCCGTCGTGCCTCACGCAGCCCATCGCGGGGAGGGCGGCCTCAGCCGCGACCGAGGCAGAAATGCCCTTGCGCGCCACTGCTGGGGAATTCCACACCCACAGCAACCAGCTGTTTGTCAGCAGCCCACCTGGGGCGCTCCGTACCCCTGGCTTGGGCATGGCTTGCAGTGAAGATGCAGGGTTGCCAGAGCTAACCGGTTATGCCCCACATCCTGGGCATATCCATCTGCTTGCCTGCAAGCCGGTTCGCTGGCCTGGCCGGAGCAGCCCCCACCTGCGGGCATGGTGGCTCGCCCACTAAACGATGAATTTCAATCGTTTATGCAGGTAACGATTGTAACGGGTTTTTACAGCCCTGTGAGGGAGCAGGCGGGGTGCCGGGGTGAGGGGCCCCGTGTAGCCGTTCGAACCATTTCCCTCTTGGCTCCTGGGAGCGTGGGATGCACTCGGAGGGAGTTGGGGGGAGTTTTACTGCCTCTCCACCCGCTTAGATCTGCTGAGAGGCCTTTGGGGGGCAGGAGGCCTTTGGGGGGCACCTCCCCGGTTTTTACAGCCCTGTGAGGGAGCAGGCGGGGTGCCGGGGTGAGGGGCCCCGTGTAGCCGTTCGAACCATTTCCCTCTTGGCTCCTGGGAGCGTGGGATGCACTCGGAGGGAGTTGGGGGGAGTTTTACTGCCTCTCCACCCGCTTAGATCTGCTGAGAGGCCTTTGGGGGGCAGGAGGCCTTTGGGGGGCACCTCCCCCTCCTGTCCCAGGCCCCCCTCCCGCCTGCACCCCAGGGGCACAGAGGGGCCACGCCACCTGCCCAAAGCGGCCTGCGGGCCAGCAGCCAGTTCCCCGGTCTCCTCCCCCGCCCTGCCCCGTGCAGAATCACAAGACCAGCTTGCTTAGGAGTGACACCGGCCGAGCGGACAACGGGCCCTGTGCGGAAAGGCAGCCTCCTCCTTGCGCCAAAGCAAAGGGGGCGCCGCAGTCCAGCCCATGGGACCCCCAGGGCAGGCTGCTCCCGGGAACAGGCAGTGGAGGCCTCTCTGCTTCAGGTGTAACTCCCCAGACTAGACACCATCAGATAACGATGGGGTTGCTAGGCAACCAAATACAGCAATCCTACACTGACACCCACCTGTGCCCGCAGGGAGCGCTCCCTGGCCCAGAATGGGCCATGCCAGAGCTGTAGGCACAGCAGGGAGGTCAGCTGCTAGCAGCATAATCGGTGCCCCAAGTTTCTAGCTGCCCTCCCCATCTTCCGCCTGGAACGCAGGCCGGGGTGGGCCGGCTCGCCCCCGTTTGCATCAGGCTGTGCCCCCCCACAACCCAATAAAGGGTGCTCTGCACACCCGGCCAGACAGGATACGATCAGGCGCTGACGACAGGTTGGTTTTCTTCAAGCCCCGGTACCTGAGCCAGCTGATTGCAGGAGCCGCTCTGCTTTTTTAACGCAGTTGCTGGTCCAGGTGGCTACAGGGAAGAGCCGGCTGGGTGGCCCCATGAGGCCAGAAGGCAAATGCAAAAAGCCCATTTCCTGCTTTTCAAGCTGCTCTCGTGATTCTCGGGGGCCTGGCGCTGACGACAGGTTGGTTTTCTTCAAGCCCCGGTACCTGAGCCAGCTGATTGCAGGAGCCGCTCTGCTTTTTTAACGCAGTTGCTGGTCCAGGTGGCTACAGGGAAGAGCCGGCTGGGTGGCCCCATGAGGCCAGAAGGCAAATGCAAAAAGCCCATTTCCTGCTTTTCAAGCTGCTCTCGTGATTCTCGGGGGCCTGGCGGGATTGTTGACACTTTGCTCTGGGCTGCCCCCCGCCCCAGCTGCCAGTGCCAAGTGGGAGGGGGTGGCACCGGGCAGCCAACCAGGAGCAGGAGGGAAAAGGCCCCCCACTGCCGATGGCAAACAGGCCCTAAGCAGAAACAAAAAGCAGGACTGGGCAGCACTCTGAAGACTAACAAGATGGTTTATTGGCTGATGAGCTTTCGGGGCCAGACCCACTTCCTCAGATCAAATAGGGGAAGAACACTGGCATGACCAGATATACCAAAGGGTACAATAAACAAAAGAACACATATGAAAAGGACAAATCACATTTCAGAACAGAAGGGGATGGGGGGGGGAGGTAAATGTCTGTGAGCTAATGATATTAGAGGTGATAATTGGGGAAGCTAGCTTTGTAATGGGGAAGGTAATTAATGTCTTTGTTAAGACCTAGGCGTAAAGTGTCACATTTAAGCATGAATGACATTTAAGCAGGGCAGCCCATGCCTGGCTGGGAAGCAGAGGCGGCCGGGCAGGGCAGGCTGGCTGGGGCTGGAAGGTGTGCGCGGCGCGATGGGGCACGGCCCTTCCTGTGTGCGCCGGCGGGGTTCCGGGGGGCCTGCGCAGACAGGGTGGGTAGCTCCACACC